AATATGTTATTTAATACCTACTTGAGAGGCAGAGAGTGAGAGAGAGGGAGAGAAAGAGTGAGAGAGAGAGAGAGAGAGACTGTGAGAGCAGCAAATTTAAATAGAGAGAAAGAGAGAGAGAGAGAAAGAAAGAAAGTTTTTATCTTTACTGCTGTTTTTTCAGAACTTATTTTATAAAGTAATATAATGAAGGAACGTAAATGAAGAAAAAAAAAAAACCACTAGTATATCGATTATAATTATAATTATTACTACTAACTATTGTATTCCTTACTATTATCGATTTTTAAATGAAGTTAAAGCGTATAAATTTAAAGAGGACATTTTTTAAGTGTATGCAAAGCATCGTGATAAAGTGATGATTATAATAACATTTGATTTGTAGACGTATTAACGATTAATGTGCTTTGCTGAAATAAGGTGAAGTCATTAAGCGTGGTAAATTACTTTTGTATTATATAATTAACGAGTCTCCAAGAGATGAATTATTAAAGTTCTCTAGTACGAAAGGAGGGAAGGGAAACGTGAGGGAGAGAAAGAAGAGGGAAAACAAGAAATAAAGTTGAATGGCTGCCTTTGCCGCAATTGTATATACATATATTTTTAGGATACGCTTGGAAAAGTAGAGAGAGAGAGAGAGGGAGAATATCGAGATAGTACGCAAAAGTGGCGTAGCAATGGATTTGATGGAGAAATATGGAAATACACACAAAACGATGACGAGAATGCGGGAACTAGCGGGACTATTCGAAATAATGATTGACGATTAATAATTATAACAGATAATATATTTATATTTAACGCAATATTATTAGTATTTTTCAATACAGAAATAACGCATCTAATTAACGTAATACGTAGCAAATAGGAGAAAAAAGAAAATAATAAAATACTTTGATTCTAGCCGTTGTTACTACCTGTCGTAATCTCGTCTTTTTCACGGATTACGACTTGCTCTCAGGGTTGTTACTGTCTTTTTTCCTCTTTTTCCTTTTTTCTTTTTTAAATCGACTTTTTTTTTTTATGTTCTCCCTGTCTAAGATTTCACTTACCGTTAGAATCTTCGAGGATCGGTTGTATTTATATCGTTTTAAGTCGGTATCTCGTTTTTCTTCTTATTTTGTTAATTTTTCTTCTTTTTGTTTTTCTTTTTTTCGTATGAATAGTAGGCACAAAACTAACTCAGTATTTTGAAGGAAGCATTCGCGAAACGATTTTTTTTTTTTTTTTTTAATCATTTTACGAGCGACGAAGCACGATGCTGTTTCTATCGTGAGATATTTAGAATTGAGGTACTCTTCTGTTTCATTTTTTTTTTTATTTCGTATAGAGAGAGATGATAATTGTATATTTAAGACTTAAGTACTGAAAGAAAAACCACAATGCAGCTCGTAGATTTAATTCTTCGTTAATTTTAAGACATTACCAACAGGGAGAGTAAAAGAAGAAAAAAAAAAGAATAAAGAAAGAACCATTAAAATTTAGAGACGTGTTAGGCATGTAATTTTTACACTTTTTACATTTTTGCACATTTTTTAAGCATTTTCCCTCCTCCTTCGTTATTATTTCTTTACGATTTAAATGTTGTTACTATCCATGTTCCACGTATTCTTCATGCATTTCGTAACTTCGTTTAATCATGGTCTTCTCTTCTGTATATT